TAGAGCTTGGTATTTATTCAACAATACTGGAATTTAACGAAAGGTCTTTTGGAATAGAGTCAGTTTATAACCAATGCGAAATTTTATGTAGTGTACCTTTTTTTAAACTTTCATATCGCAGAGATAGTTACAGAGTTAAAGTTTTAGACAAAAAATCGACTGATAATGCAAAACAACGCAGAAAAACCATAAGAGCTATTAAAAAAGGACTTAGGAGGCATCCATAAAGAACGTACGCAGTAAAATCACTGTTTAAGGACCCCCTGCCCCCTTGTACGAACCTGTACGCTTTCGAAGACCTGCCCCCTCCCTCCGCGTACGTACGCATTATTATTTTTTTTTAATTAAATTGATTTTGTTTTTTTTATTATTTATAAAGAATTAAAAAAAAATTGTAACTGAAGTCAGAAAAAAAACACAATTCTGATTTGTTACACACGTGAAATTCAATGTTATTTAAAAAAAAAAAATTATGTTTAGGATAGACAAACTGCGTACGTACTCACTGTCTTTAAAACCCCTTCCCTTGTACGCGTTCGTACGCTTTTGGGAAACCCCCTTCCCCAATCCTGCGTAGGTACTTTATGGATGGCCCCTTATTGACATTTTTTTAAATTTTTTTATAATTTTTTTTTTATTATTATTTATTTATTTTGCCGTTGATAAATATTGCAAAAAAGAAATTACAGTAAAAAAAAATCCTTGCCGGAGCAAGAAGAAGACAGGTCTTATCACCGCAAGAAGAAGACAGGTCTTATCAAGCAAGAAGAAGACAGGTCTTATCACCGAGCCCCGTCACACAAAAATTTACATGCGCAATAAATGATAAAAGACAGTAAATACAAAAACAAAACAAAAACTTCAGCAACAAAATAATTTGTTCCTAACAATCTTCCAGCAGAATAATTTTAAAAATAAAAAAGTAAAAACGACAGAAAATCATGAAAGTTATAAAAACACAAAAAAAATGGGTTGTTTAATTAAAAAAAAAAAGCAATATATGTAAACATAAGTGTTTGGGCTGATTATTTAATATCATCAAAAATATGAACGAAAAAGACAATTTTATTTTCGTTATCTTTTATACTAATGGTTTAAAACCATTTTAATAAAAGCTAAAGAAAGTGTTAAAGATTTAATTTATTTTTAAGTAACTTAGTTTAAACCTTTAAATTGTTTTCAAAAAATGTATTTGAAATCTAATATATCGAATTCCATCTTCAGTAAATGCCGTTTTGAATCATCCCTAAAACTATGCAAAGTGCAGTTTAAAACGAAGTTTTGTTTTTTACTAAAGATTAGAATAAATTTTTTCCAAACTAAAGGTCCCCGATATTGAATTTGGTACGAACTTAATTTAAGAAGGTTTATGGGAACCACAAAGTTATTCACTGAAAATTTGGTTGGATATTTATGGGAGATTTCATTAAAGTAGGATTGAAATGTTATTGGAGAAAACCTAAGTTTTGCTTTAAACATAAATAACATTACTTGATGAATATTAAGCTTATAAATATTCAAAGCTCCAAGCTGACGTAAGAGAGGTTTGCATTGTGTTTTTCTATTTGCCCCAAATACTATCCTGCAAGAATGTTTTTGTTTACTATAAATTTTTTTGAGTTTTAGTTTAGTTTAGTGTGATTAGTGCTACTCCAGGAAATGTTACAGTATGAAAGATAGCTGTGTATAAACGAAAAATATAAATTTTTTAAAGACCAGTTATTAAGAAAAGGTTTTGTTCGATATAACATGGCAATATTTTTTGAGATCTTACCTTCAATATATTTAATATGAAATTTCCATGACAATTTTTCATCCAAGAGCACTCCCAGAAAGTTTGTAGTCAATTCCTTTTTAATTATTTTATTATTGATTAAAAGATTGGGTAGTTTAAAAGGAATATTCTCAGCTTTACTAGGTTTATAGAATAGGATAAATTTTGATTTCTCTACATATAATGATAGTCGGTTACTTATAAACCACTCGTTGATCTTATCTAATTCTTCGTTTAATGTTTTAAAAAGAACAGTAATATTTTGGTGAGAATAAAACAAATTAGGGTCATCTGCAAATAAGATAGTATTTAATACTTTTGATGATAAATATAAGTCATTTATATAAAGTAAGAACAATAATGGTCCCAAAATAGAACCTTGGGGTACTCCACAAGTTATTAATTTGTTTTTTGAGTCTTTTGATTCTTTAAGTATAAATTGCTTTCTGTTAGTTAAGTATAATTTAAACCAAAGTAAACTTTGATTTTTAAAACCATAGTTTTCTAATTTTTTCAAAAGAATTTTATAATTTACTGTGTCGAAAGCTTTGGATAAATCAATAAAAACCCCTATTGTATAGCAATCACTATTAAATCCATTTGATATATGCTTAACCAATTCAATTATTGCATGGTCAGTAGAATAATTATTTTTAAAACCGTATTGATTATTATATAAAATCTTATTTTCAGATAGATATTTATAAAGTCTGTTGTACATAATGCGTTCAATTAGTTTAGAAAAGCAGGGTAAGACTGAGATTGGTCTGTAGTTTGAAATATTGGTCTCACCGCCAGATTTGAAAATAGGTGTTACTTTTGCAATTTTCAGTTTATCTGGAATATGACCTGATTTAAGGGAGAGATTAAAAATATGGAATAATGAGGGTTCGATAATATCAAAAACAGATTTAATTACATTAACATTAATTTGATCTATACCTGTACTTTTATTTTTTTTCAGACTACTAAAAGCAGTATTCACTTTCGGTTAAATTCGGTTTTTTCATAGTTAAATCAGTTGTTGCAAAAGATGAATCAAATTTTTTTTGACCAACTGGAATTTTTGCTGCTAGGTTTAGGCCAACATCAAGAAGAACACATTGAAGACCAATCTGATGTTCATTCAAACATTTAAGACCAATCTGATGTTTCAAAAAGCTATTCTGCAGGAGCTTTTTAACACATTTATTTTTAAAATGATTTTTATGACACTTGGTTTTTACACTTTTGTTTTGACACTTTAGTTACACTTTGGTTTTTTAGTCTTTTTTCTTCACTTTAAACATCATAATTTGGCCAAAAATTCATCAATCTGCTTGAAAATTTCAGGAAATGTTCCTAGTGATATTCTCTAAGGGATGAACAAAGCAGTTTTTTTTATTTTTTTTGTGTATTTATATGACTGTTTTATCAAAATGTAAAATAATTCGAAAAAAAAAAACAGCCTTTTAAAAAGAGTTTTAGCTTTGTTAATTTAATTTATTTTCGCTCATTCTCTAGTATAGTGAGTATAGAGAAATTTAGTATAATTTGAATAGTTAAATTTAATTCAAAATGAACTAGTTTTTCTTGAGTCATTAGGTTTGAGGTTTGCTATAATTTTTCATCAAAATTTACTTTTTTTTTGCTGGTTATGCATAAAAAAGTTAACAAAAATTAAAAAAAATGTTTTTATTTTTTTATTAGTTGATGTAAATAATAGTTTGTTTACAAATAAAATCAATAAAGTTAATTTTTTCAAAAAAAAAAGTTTTTGGTGATGAACCACCCTAAGTAATTCCTCAATTTTGTTTTAGAGAAATTTCAATTTTGCTTTTCAAAAGTTTCAATTTTGTTTTAGAAAAGTTTCAACTGTCAACCATTATATAAGTTTATCTACTAAATTTAGTACATTAAATTTCTAGTACATTAAATACAAACAATTAGTCATTTAAATGACTAATTGTTTGTATTCAATGTACTAGAGAACTGAAAGTTTTCTATTCCTGGAAAGGGTGAAGATATAACAACTTAGATAAGATATTAGGATTTTTGCCTTGGAACTCAAGAAATGATTGAATCGCCCTAAAAAAAAAAAGGGGTTGTTGGAAATTGCAAAAGGACTTTGCTCATGCAACGCTTGGTAAGCGTTGAAAAAATGTGAGGAATTCACAACTCTACAGTTTAATGAAACAGCTGATATGTTTACCAAAAAACAAGTTTTGTTCTGCATTTGGCGCGTTAACAAGTTTTGTTCTGCATTTGGCGCGTTAACAAAGAACTCAAGATTGAGGAGCTTTTAATGAGACGAAAACGAGATTTTACTAAAACGAGAACATTAGGAGCGCAACTCTGTTTAACAGTTGGAAAAGTATACTTAGACGAACGTTTTGCGCCCAATTAGCCTGTTGATCCAGAAGTGTCGCGGCCGTTGTTGCGATAGATTGTTTAACAATTTTGGAAGTATCCATAAATTACAGACCTTAATGAGGGAAAAAGAATAGGCAGTTTATGTCTGCTTCTAATCTCATATTCTTAATTTGGCAGCACAAAATTCTATTAAAAATTAAACAGAGATCAGGAATATAATGAATCTAGTCCAAGCATTTATTGCATTAATCGGCGAGTTATATTTTTTTTATTACACTCTACAAGGGCACTGCCGCCGGCTTTGCTATGCTTTTCTAGATTGTGTAGTAATAGGATTTTCGATCCAACTCGAACCTACGTTATAGTTTACTCGAACCTGATAGTTAAAGAAAGGCAAGTACCCCGAACTAATGTCTGGCTTGTTTCAGCAACATCATTAAGAATATTGCTATCAATTAAATTGCTTAAATATAGGATCCGTTAAAATTTTCAAAAATTGACTTGGTAGATTTTGAAGGCTGATTTTGGTTGATTTTGAAGGCTTTTGATATACTTGAGAATCATGCCGAATTCAAGAATATTTAACTAAATGTTTTTTAAATTAGATTAGAAAGTGCTTTTTAAATCAGTTTTGAAAGTTAAATCAGTTTTGAAAGTTGATTACGATGGCGTCACATTTCAAGTCATTTCATTGATTCCCGATTTTTTTTATTATGTACACCGTTTCGTGTGAGCAATCATTTTCTTGCCTTTGCAGGCTTAAGACCTATTTGCGCTCTACAATGTCACAAGAGTGACTGAATCATGTAGCATTTGCCATCGTGATATTGCCTACACTCTTGATCTCGATCCTTTTATTATTAAGCTCATAACGTGTTATAACTACAGAAAGTTTATTTCAAGAAACAACAACTTCAAAAATTTTTTAACAAACTAAAAAACTTTATTTCACAAAGTTCAATCAAAAAGATTATTACTTATTAGCAAAACTAATTTTATAGACTAAAGCCGAATGATAAAAATTAAAACATTCTCAGTGTCCCAACTTCATCTTAAATTTCAGAACTTTAGGAAAATGTCTGATAGTTATAGAAAGGCGAGTACCCCGAACTAATGTCTGGCTTGTTTCAGCAACATCATTTAGAATATTGTTATCAACTAAATTGTCTTCAAAAACCTCTTTGATTCCATGCATATAACTTGAATACATAGATTCTTTAAAGCATACCAAACTTCGTCTTTCAAGAAGAAATGATCCAATATAAAGATTCTGATATCCAATAACCTATAAAAAAATATACGATCAATAAAAAGTTTTAATGCAGGAGATAAAATCATCTTAGGCATCAGAATACATTATTTTGACATTCAGCGTTAAATATTCCTAATATTTACAAAAAATTCCATTAAGGCTTTAATAATACTTTAAAAATTATTTTCAATTACTATTTTACCTTATTCGTTGTAATAATTTTAATAAATTTTAACTTAACCTATCTTAAGCAAAAAAACAAACAAATGAAACCTATCATTAATTGAAACGCATCAATTGATTATAATTTTTTATTAATTAATTAATTATTAATTATCATAAATTATTATTAATTAACTTCATAATACCTTATTAGTATTAAAATTCCTTTTTTTCTTGGAAACTAATATTATTAACAAAAAAGGTAATTAACCAGAATTAAAAATCTAAATAAAAATATAATGAGTACATGAACAAAGGTGAACCTTTTGCTACAAAAGGTGAAACTTCTTGGCTAAAAATCAACTATTTATAGACATATTAAATTCCAATTCAGATCAATTATTTATAGACATTTAACTCCAAGAATCAGATAAACTACTTGAGAAACAAAAAAATAGCGTTCAAATATTTTAAACTAACTCTCCGAATAAGGAAGCTCAAAATTTTTCTTGTCTTCGCAGGCTAAAGCTCAATTTTTTTAATTAACTCTCCGAATAAGGAAGCTCAAAATTTACAAATGTTCAATCACAAAGTCCAGAGCTTGCTAAAAAAAACCATAAAAAAGATCAGTTGTAGCCACGAAACCAATCGGAAAATATTGAGGAGTATATTTTCTATGCACCAGGGCGTTATCCCTTTTCCAAATCAAAATCGTATGACCTAAGATGTAACCACGAGTTTATGCTTCAACCGCAACCAGTCAAAACTGTATAGAGAGACTTTTTTACAAATCGTATTTGTGCACCATAGAATGCACTTTCCAGCAATACCATCAACTCAAAATATGTTAATATTTTCAAGTCACGTTTGCAGCATCAGAACACTAGCAAATAATAGAACTATATGTAGCAAACTCGTCAACATAGCAAGGTCAGGCGCCGAGCTCAGTCAAATTTTATAACATTTTTTGTAAAAGTTGATTACTGAATAAACCTAACTAAACTATATTGAGAATATTGAGGAGTATAAAAATTGAAATATTGAGGAGAATATTAAAGAGTATAAAAATTGATAATATTGAATAAAAAGCCTATATTATGCTATTAATGAACAAAAAGACAAAAATAAATCTTCCGTATAGCAACTTGTGACTCATTTGAATTGTAAATGGTTATTACAAAATCATAAAAAAGATATGTGGCGAAGAAAGCTACTTTACATTAAGTAAATCAAGCCTAACTGGTAATAACTCATATATTTCAAATTCATATAAATGTTTTTTGAAATTAGTTGTAAAAAAAATGTTTTTTAAAGTTAGTTGAAAAAGTTGTGGCAATTTTTATTTGACATACATTATAGTTCAAAAATACTTACACCATCATCAGTTTCGTCTGTTGGTTTGTAAAAATCTAGTAGAGTATGAGAACCAACAGTGATCGTAGATATTGTTGGATAAAATAGCGGACCATCAAAATGAGGCTATCAAAATAAAATTTTTTTTAACTAGATAAAATTAATTTTTTTAACTAAAAAAAAAATTTAAATTATAATTTTAATTATAATCACATTATATTTACTATTATATATAACAACTAAATATAATTATTTCACATAACCACAATTAAATTAAACTAATTTTTTTAAACTTATAAATTTTACTTTTTAAAATAAATTTTACTTTTTTAATTAAGAAATTATATTTAAACTATTTTTTCTGAATTTTTTGAAAAAATGATAAGTTAACAATTATTACTTTAATAGTTATTAATTAATAACAATTATATCATAGTAGTGTGCACTAAATCTACTTTGGCAAAATGTTTAAAATTTTTTTAACCTTTTATAAACCGTATAAGTTAAACAAAATAAACAAAAAAGCTATTACCATTATCCCCTGCGAAGGTTGATATTCATTAATCAAAACATGATTAGGTTGTTTTCCATCAAACAAATCCAATGAACCAACCCGTATTACGTAATTGTTCAACCACTAAATATGAAACAAAAAGTATCAACTAATCGTAAAAAAAAAAAAAAAAAAAAAAAAAAACTTAAGAACCTTAGCTACAAAATAGTCAAAAATTACATTTTTTCAGTTGTATTTATATTATATTTATCGAAACACAATAGCTATCCAAAAATTATGAAAATCATAATCATGTAAAATTAAGCGCGGACGCGTATATATACATATTTAGGATAATTCTTAATATCATTAAGTATTAACCATGATAATAAACCTGAAGTCTATTTGATAAGGTAACAACTCTAGAGTAGACCTGAAGTCTAGTCATGGAGTTGTTGCAAAGGTAGCAAACTATAACTATCAAAGCACTTTAGTTATTATTTATAACTTCACAACGTATTAAATATGTAAAAATTCACAAAAAAAAAAAAAAAAAAAAAATACCGATGGTATTACTTCAGGAACCATTCCCTAAAAGTTTAATTGATAAATATATTATTATAATTTATTACTATTTTTTTATAATTATAAGCTAAAATATATATTACTTATAATATAAATTTAAACAATTATTACTTATAAATTATTAAAAACTAATCATAAATATGAATTAAAAAATTGATTAACAATAACGCTTTTCCTTTCTCTTTTCAAATTTATAAGAAATTAAACAAGTAAATAAAATGTAAAATATTGTTAAAACAGCTCAATTAGATAAACAATGTTGAAACGTTCAAGTGAATAGAAGAAACATACGGCAAAATATGAATTAAATTAATTTGTTTAAAAAAAAAATCAAAATTAAGCAAATAACAAAACAAAAAAACGAACCTTTGCATGAGGTAGACCACCTACAAGAAAGAAATTTTCTTAAAATATTAAAAAACTAAAAGTGAACAATTTGAATCTTAATGAGTTACCCTAATTTTTTATCTTAGAAAAATTGTACCGGAATTTTTATCTTCGATAGTTTGTACCCCAATATTTTATCTTCGAAAGTTTGTACCCCAATTTTTTATCTTAGAAAGTTTGTACCCCAATTTTGTAGTCTTCGGTTTGAAAGTATTGTCCATTTTGGTTTAGGTACTTCATATATCTGAAACAAACAAATATTTGCTTTAATACGTTTTGGATTAAACTACCTTGGAACATATACTTTATCATTTATACATATTAAACGATACTTTACATAACAATGTTATTTAATCAATAATTATGTTATGCATGTCTTATTTAATCAACAATCATGTCTTATTTAATCAATAATTATGTTATGCATGTCTTATTTAATCAACAATTATGTTATGCATGTCTTATTTAATCAACAATTATGCTATGCATGTCTTATTTAATCAATAATTATGTTATGCATGTCTTATTCAATCAACAATTATGCTATGCATATCTTATTTAATCAATAATTATGTTATGCATGTCTTATTTAATCAACAATTATGCTATGCATGTCTTATTTAAAAATACATTTGATAATATAAACTATAATATATCATTTTAAAACATTTTTTTAGAACTAAATGTACAATCACTAAAATAGTCATTTGTAAAATTGGTTATCTTGTATAGTACTACACAAGATTAAAATACATTTGACAGAAAACTATATATAAATACAACAACAACAAAAAGGTTATAAGAAAAAAAAAGATGAATTTAAATAGAATTGAAACAACAACAAAAAAAGGAATGCAATAATAAAACAATTGCCCACATTTGATTGGATATTTGATTGGAAAGTTTAATAATAAAACAGTGCAACTGTAAAACACATATTAATTTAGCAACACTTATGTGCAACGCTGTGGACCATTAGTTTTGATGTCAACAATAACATGATTTAATCATAACTAAAATTAGTTTCACTTGCTAAAAAAGCAAAATTGTCAAATCAATTTTTAAATAATATGTGCAAATAAATAAGTGAATGTATGAAAAATTAAATTATGTTCTAAATTTTATGTAAAAAAAAATCTTTTGCCTAGATAATCATTTAAACTAAATTTTAAACTTGCTTAATAAAGTTAGGCTGATTTTACACATGATTTTAAAATGCATGTAGTGTGTTATAGGTTTTAATGTTGAAGTAGTTTTCGGCCATTTTAAAGGCTATTTTATTTATTTTAGCCCAATTAGAGAATTTTATTATATGAAAATATGAAGGGAATCATCATGCAGGAGGAAGAAATTATGACAAGGAAGATAATAATAATAACGATAACTGATGTATTTTTATATAAAATTATTATGAGTTATATGTAACAAATTACTAGATTAACATAAATTGACCAAACGAACATATATTTGTTTGCTCAATTTATGTTTACTTTTTTTTCTGTAATCTTTACATTTTTATATATTTATATGTAATAACTTTTATATATATTTTAAACGATTTTTAAATATTTAAAAACTAATAATTATTACAAGAAATTTTATTTATTAGCAGTACAAAATACAATGTGTATTTATATAGATTTTTATTGCTATAAATTTAAAATAATCATGAGTATTTTTGGATATAACATTAAATCATAAAAACATGATACAAACAATAATGTGTAAATATGAAATATAAATACAAAGTATTTAATTTTTCTTTTAAAATAAGGGTTTACTTAAATAGTTAATAACTATTTAGTTATCTGTTTGTAGTTAATAATTACATTGTTAAAGCATCGTTTTCAAACATTTTTTATACAAAATAACAAAATGATTTGGATAAATTTGTATAAAGTTTTGTTTTTAGTAATCTATATATTATGAAAGTTATGCAAAGAAGTTGTGAAGGTATTTTAAAGCATAAACAGATTGAATTACACATCGAAGTGGTTTAGAAACATTTAGTTTGTTATCTAAACTCGTGGTTTTGAAACATTTAGTTTGTTATCTAAACTCGTGGTTTAGAAACATTTAGTTTGTTATCTAAACTCGTGGTTAAGAAACATTTAGTTTGTTATCTAAACTCGTGGTTTAGAAACATTTAGTTTGTTATCTAAACTCGTGGTTTAGAAACATTTAGTTTGTTATCTAAACTCGTGGTTTAGAAACATTTAGTTTGTTATCTAAACTCGTGGTTTAGAAACATTTAGTTTGTTATCTAAACTCAGAATGATTAAATCACAAAAAGTATTAAAAGAATTAAAAAAGATTGCATCACGAGACAAGGTGATTGTAAAAAAGATTGCATCACGAGACAAGGTGGTTGTAAAAAAGATTGCATCACGAGACAAGGTGGTTGTAAAAAGAAATCACACTAATTGTTGTTTAGAAAGCACAGGTTTAAAATATTTTATTTCTATTTTTGTACTTATTTGAATCTAGTAGTTATACTCTCACTACCAATATTTTTAGATTTTAGGTTTTTATGTAATAAATTCTTTTTCTCAGACTTTTAAATAAAATTTTAACAATCACAGGGTTCAGGGTTCTTACATAAAATGGAATCATAAGCAAAATAATTTTTTGTGTACAGAACACAACACAAAAATATATTTTAGGTGTTTATGTAACTTGTAAAAAAATTTATCTGTATTATTTCAGAGAATTTATCAAGAACTTAAAGGTACCACAATTTACATGTGGGTCTGGGTTAAAAATTTACAGTTGCTATGTCCCCTCATGGAGCAACATTGATTGCAGAAGAATTTACAAAATTGTGCTATAACTCTTTTATAAAGCAACCATATCTTACATCAAGACTACATTTTATGCTCTAATCTTTTATTTTATTTTAAAAGATATATTTTTCTAGGTGAAAATCATTATACATTATTATTATTTCTTAATATCATTTTCATTGCAATATCTGAACTGATTTAAGCATCTGTTAATTTGAGTTTAAATTATCCTTAAAGAACTTTAAATAATTTACCGTCTAATGATTGAATAATAAAAGTTTTTGTATTAGTATTGAATAATAATATTAGGCTATTTAAAATATAAATTATGTTGCAACTGAAAGTTTTATTTTGATGATAATTTAAATGTCTGCTTCAAACAAATAGAAAAAGAATTATAAAACAAGTTGATATATAAAAGAAGTTTATGTTGAATGTTATGATAAGAAAAATAATTTGTCTACCAATAATGTTTCTAATGATTGTTGGTAAGGTAAGTTATTTTCTAAGGAGTGTTTGTTATGACGATAATGTATATGAGAGTGATAATGACAATGCAAGAGAAAGTTTTCCTGCTTGAGGTAATGATAATTAATAAGACAATGATCTTGATAAATATTATTTCCCAAAAGACTCAGAAAGACTTTTTTTTCATTTTTTTTATTTCTTCTAATATTTGTATAAAGGAATTTTGATACAAGTCAACTCTTATGTTTTGCAGTAAAATATTGATACAATTATTGATTCAATACTGATTCAATAATTTTCTGTTTAGATATGGTTTTAAAAAATGTAGTGATTCTTTGTCTCCATGTTTATGCAAGTAATTCATCATTTTGATTTTAATATTTTTTACATTTATTGTATATAGTATGTGCATATATTTTACATATTTTTGGTTATTTCTTATAGAAGTAGATTATATTTAAGTTATACAAAAGATTTTTACTGATTTGTGTACTTTTTTTAATTTCTTTTATATATATATATATATATATATATATATATATATATATATATATATATATATATATATATATATATATATATATATATATATATATATATATATATACATATATATATATGTATATAATTATACTTATAGTTTTAACAGTAGTTATGGCATCGCCTAAAAGCTCATCAAATGAAAGATGCAAGTTCTGAGATTTCTATCAAATTATATAATGAGTAGCGTTTAAACGTCAAAATTCCAGCAAATTTAAGACTCAAGATTCGTACGGAAGCTAAACAGTCGAAAAAAACATTTTAATTTTAAATATGCGTATAATTTGTACGAATATTTTAACGTCATTATAATGATTATTACAACAAATTTTAATTTTCTGTGTTATTATAAAATTCATTTGATGAAAACCAATTTTAGTTTACCACAAAAAAAAAGTTTTAGTTTATTCAAACTTATTTGGAGAAAAAAAATCATTGTAATAGTTTTAATGAATATTACATAATCAGAGGGCAGTGGGTCAATTATAAAAGAAAGAAGACACTAAATTAAAAAAATATAATTAAATGTTAGATAAATAGGTTAAAAGCGTAGATACTTTTAGGGAGGTGAAGGGTACTCAAAAAAGCGTATTACAAAATGCGGTGGGTAGACGAAAAAAAAGCGTACATACTTTATGGATGACCCCTAAGAAATAGTAAGCACGTGCTTACCTTTTGAATCAAAATTTTAAAGATTCTTATATATAATAATATTATGTTGGGCCGACGTTAGAATGCGATGCTTGCCCAACGGTTGCCTGCGACATTGCGCTGACTTCCCAATCCACATTGTGGCACTGTCAGTTGCTGACCAACAAATTTTTTGAGGTTGATCCGACATTGGACTAATGTCTGTGTGCTATCTGGGATGTCATTACCCGAATACAAGATTTTATCAGACTGTACATATATGATGGTAATGACATAGACTTACTTTATAGAGATACTTATAATATAGACATACTTTAAGAGGATTATGGGGGAGATATATACTAATACTTTATTTTTAATACTATATGTTTTATATAAATAATAGAGGACCACCCATATAGTACATCCACAAAAAAACCTAAATTTTTTTACATAACATTAAAATAATAAACATTTAAACATTATTATAGACTAAATGGGTGGTTCATTTTTTCTGCTTGTGTAACTGGTAAATACACAAATGATTATACATAATATATATTTAGATATATAACATAACTAAAACAAACTATAACAAACAAATCACTTTGGATATTTATTTGATAGTAGTAGTTAAAATTTGTTAATTTGTAATGCTTTAGATTGATTGGGCCAACAAAAGGTGATCTTCAGATCCACGTTTGGGTATCAGTATTCCAACATTTAATGAACCGAAATTGTCTGAAAATGTATGCAGTATTTGTTTTCTTGTTACTGGACAAGGCATATGTGTAAACAAGGTGTTGCTGTAGAAAACTACTGT